GGGGGACGCGATCGGTAAGGTTTTGTGGGTTTGTAGCCTACCCGTATCAATTTTAGACCACCAAGGTATCTTTAACGTTCCTACCCGAAGATCAGAGGTGTGGCTAAAGGACAGCAGTAAGAAGGAGCCATGGAGTAGCAGTAGAAAGGCTGCAGAAAGAGCCAAGAGCCCAGAGGAGGGGGCAAAGGAAGTGACGGGGTGGGGGTAGAAAGAAGAGACGGAAGCAGACAACAGAACATTGCTAGAGAGTAGGAAAGGAGGTGAACGGAAACAATAATTCTAGAGAAGAAAGTTTTTTCGTTCCCTACCTGGATTCGAACCCGGAACCTTTGAATGAGGCAAAACACATTAACCCGTAGACCACGAGAGGCCCCCCCCCTCCTCCCTGGAAATGTTTGGTGGGAAGTCTCGCGCTGTCAGTTTGTGGCCACACCACAGACATGTTTGTTTTTCCTCCTCGAGAATCGATCACGTGAGATGTCATGGCCTTCTCTGCTCTGGCTTGAGCCTCGTTCTCCATCAGATTGTTTGAGTTTCTTCAGGATGCGAGAAGTTTCTTGGGTTTGATTCGATTGCTCAGTTGATCTCGCGATTGGCTGTGGTAGGGGCAATCGAAGTTCAAATCTCTAACACAGTTTTCTTAGGATTTTGTTATAGGGGGAGGGGGCACTTAACAAGTTTTCGACTTTCTTGGCCAGGTCCTATCGGAGACGGACGATACGTATAGAGTTCCAGCCTGTTTATAGAATGTAAAGTAAAGTTGTTCCTGCATCCGATCCGGACATTGGGGATTGCCTTGTTAGAGAGACAACTTCCTGGGCCTTGGGCATATTGTGGTAGGGTGGCCAGTTCCTTTCCACGCCGCCTTTACTCCCCCAACTCGAAATCAGGTATCCATTACTGCTGGGTGGGCAGGAGGGGGCGAAAAATCCGTTTCCGAACCGAGGCTGGAACCTGGACTTTCCGCTTCGGAGACGAGCGCACTAACCGCTCCGCCACCGCTCCGCCACCGCACCCTCAGAGAATGTACAGCCTTGAAAAAGGCATTAATCCCAATATAAAGTAAGCCTATGAATCTATCGCCCCCATCACCACTATTAGAATATTTAAGACGCGGGACCTCCAAATGAAACGTCTGTCATTTATAGGACCTTCTCAAAGGGGAGGGGGGGGGGGGGAGAGTATTAACATGTTCTTATGCACAGTAGAATTGTAAATGGGTTGTTTTATCAATGTCATGCTCATACTATGCCGGAACAACATAGGGATAACTGCTGCTTTTTCTTTCCTCATCCTTACTATCGTCATTTTCCCTCTACTTCTTTTGTAAGTTTGTCACTCTTTGTGAACTGCTATTTCCGGGGTGCCTTGATAGTCGAAGCAGACTTTGTGCTGTTGAGGCTAGAGAGGTGAGCAGTGTAAGCCTGATTCCCTGTAAGGATTTCTCTGTTGACATCCACCTCTAGGCGCTCATATGACCTTATGCAGTTGTGAGCGGCGTAAAACCTTACTGATCTAAAACTAATTGATAGGACCGAGCCACATTGGTTGAGAGCCTTGCAAACTCTCCACAACACGACTGGAGTTCAAGAGCACAAAGTCTGGGATTCAAACCTAAGGCTGTCCGCTCCTTAATACATCACGATACCACCTGAGCAAACGAAGCACCAGATTTGTCCCATTGTATACTAGGCCAGAGTTGTGGTTCATAAGACAATATATAATGCTGCGTGTCCCATGGACAGCTAGAAAAGCAAATGAAGAAGTCTTGTTTGAAGCAAATTGCAGACGACAGCTGACAAGGGTGACACATTCAACCTCATACCCCTGTGCTAGACCTAGTAGGAACAAATCTGTTTTATTTCTCCTTTAGTGAATATAAAAGAACAAGAGATCATGACATTTTAGTGTTTTTAGTAAGTTACTGTGACAACTTTTCCCAATTTAGGAACAAACCAGTTTCACTAAAATATGAATCAATCTACAAATTTAAAAAAAATGCACCGAACATTGAAGTAGCCAATCCAGTACCGGTACTAATACTTAGGGTAATTTGCCATTTACGAAAAAAAAAAAAAAAGTTCAATTCAGATATCTACATTCTTGATAAAATGTTTCACATGATCGTCGGTCGTGACAAGCTGGGAAATAATTAACGAGGGGGG